TGGGGGAGGGGCTGGAAGCCAGGACTCCTGGGTTCTCTCCCCGGCTCTGGGAGGGGAGTGGGGTCTGGGGGTTAGAGCAGGGGCACTTGGCTGTGGAACGGGGCCTGGCTGAGCACCCAGAGGCAGGAGGCCGCTGCTGGGCCGCGCTGTCCCTGACCCCTCGTGCCACGTCAAACCCGCAGCAGCGCCCGGTGGTGCCAGGCGCGAGGGGCCCGGCGGCTCCGCAGCAGGTGACGCCAAGAATCTGGGCAGACTGGTCCAGCAGGAAGCAGAGCAGGATCGGGCCCTTGATGTCAATCCCCTCGGGGGCCCTGGGCTGCAGGGAGCGGAGTGGGGGGCTGCCCCCGGCCTTCAGGGCCAGTGCTGGGGGGGCTCAGTGGGGCAGGGACGGTGATGTGGGGCCGGGTGTAATTCGGCTGCAGATGTGTGAGAACCGCCCCCCCCCCGACGAAAGAGCAACCTAAAAATAGCCTGAGTCTGAGGGAAGGTCCGTTCATTGAGGCGCAATGATCCCCCCCCCCACGTGCCAGAGAGAACCCAGGAGTCCTGCCTCCTCCTCCTCCTCCCCCGCCCCCAGTGCTCCGAGAGAACCCAGGAGTCCTGCCTCCCAGTGACCCCCCACACTAACCACCAGCCCCCACTCCCCTCTCAGTGCTCCGAGAGAACCCAGGAGTCCTGGCTCCCAGCCCCCCCTGCTCTAACCACCAGCCCCCACTCCCCTCTCAGTGCTCAACAGTTTTCTTCAACTGGGTCGCCAAAAAAAAAGTTTGAAAACCACTTTATTAGATGCATTACGGTAGCGCTGGGTGCGGTACACCACGACTGCTATTTATTAGATGCATTACGGTAGTGCTGGGTGCGGTACAAACCCATACGGGCGTTCTTAGCAGAGCAGTGGAAGGACCCTCCCCCCCCCCCCACCACACACACGTTGCCCCTTTCGAGGACCATCAGGGACCCCCTGCAGAACGCTCCCCCTCCCCCCCGCATTTCAGTGCTGCCCCAGTGCCCCCCAAAAGCCAGGGAACAGGACTGGACCCAAGCCCCACAAGCCAGGTCAGACCCACCCACGGACCAGGAGAGGCCTTGTCCTTGGGCCTGCGTCACGCCAAGATCCCTGCGTGAGCCGGAGCCGCCGTGGGGCAGGGCAGGGACGGGGTCTGTGTTAGCAACCTCGGGGATTTCGGGGGCTGTGGGGGGAGAACTGCAAGGAGAATCGCCTCCCACCCCACTCCCTGCAGCACAGCGCCCCCTAGCGCCGCCCTGGGGCATCAGGGGAGAGCCCCCACCCCGCTCCCTGCAGCACAGCGCCCCCTAGCGCCGCGCTGGGGCACCGGGGGAGAGCCCCCACCCCGCTCCCTGCGGCACAGCGCCCCCTAGCGCCGCGCTGGGGCACCGGGGGGAGAGCCCCCACCCCGCTCCCTGCGGCACAGCGCCCCCTAGAGCCGCCCTGGGGCACCGGGGGAGAGCCCCCACCCCACTCCCTGCGGCACAGCGTCCCCTAGCGCCGCCCTGGGGCACCGGGGCCAGCTGGGGAACTGGCCCCATTGACTACAGTGGCGCTTCGGCCGATTGACCCAGCGGGGGGGTCGCTATAAGGGTGGCTGTGCTGAGACAGTAGCTATGGGAATACAGGGCGGGGGGGAGGGACCAGAGATTTCGGGAGAGGACTGGGCGTGGAGGCCCCTTTCAGGAGACCCTACAATAACCAAGCAATGCACGCGGCCCCCAGCCCGCCCGAGAGACCCTACAAGAACACGGCCGTTCTGCCTTAGCTGCGGGAGGGGATCCCCAAGCTTGGCTGGAAGCCCCCTCAGACCTCGCTGTCGAAGGCCTTGACGAGAACCCGCTGGGAGTCGGCCGCCAGCTCCTCCAGGCACTGGCTGAGCATGGAGTAGGTGGTGTGGAAGGAGATGCCCCCGGAGGCCAGCGCCCCGTAGATGGGGATCCGGTGGAAGAAGAAGTTGACCACCACCAAGCCCCCGCCGGTGGCCTTCCCCAGCAGCCCGATCACCACCTCCTTGTTGATGCTGCGCCCGAGCACGCTGCGCACCTCGGCCCGCAGCACCTCCAGCGGCTTCCCGGCCCTCTCCGCCAGCCGGGCCAGGGAGGCCGCGTCCAGCCCGAAATCCTGCCGGTAGGCGGCCAGTTTCCTCAGCAGGATGGAGACGTCGCAGGTGAAGGCCAGCCCCGGCAAGGGCACGGCGGCCACCAGGCTGGAGACCAAGGCCACCTTCCAGACCTCCTGGTGGAGCAGCTGCCGCTTCTTCTCGATGATGGCCCCCGAGAGGTTGGGCAGGGAGAGGAGGAAGGCGTGACGCTTGTGCCCGGGCAGCTCTCGCTCCAAGGTGTCCTCGAAGGCCTGGAAGTCGTATTTCTCCATCTCGAAGCTGCTGAGGAGGAAGACCTTGGCGTCGCCCAGCCCGGCCTGACCCAGCCGTTCCCGGCAATCCCTCCTGATCTCCTCCAGCACTTCCTCTTCCTCGGGCGGGTTCTTCCTCCTCCGCGTGGCCTCCAGGTCGTTGTCTACCTTGGCGCGCACGAAGTAGAAGCGTTTGCCTTGCTCCACGATGGCCCGGGCCAGGCGGACGTGGTTCTCCTTGAACCTCTCCGAGGCCAGGATGATGAAGAAGTCGTAGCGAGTGAAATTCACGGCCTCGAGGTAGCGGTCGGCCCGGAAGCTGGGTGTCCCGATGCCCGGCAGGTCCCACAGTGTCACGTTGGGGTAGCCGGGGTAGGGGTAGGCCGTGGGCTGGGCCGTGGTCTCGGTCACGCCGGTCTGGGCCGCCCCCTCGTCCTCGTCACTCAGGCCTCGCAGGGCGTTGACGAAGGTGGACTTGCCAGCCCCTGACTCCCCGGTGACGGCCACATCCAGCCGGGCGTTCCACAGGGTCTCCAGGCTGCACTGGACCCGGGTCACCACCTCCGCCAGGCCGCCCAGCTCGTAGGCCTCCTGAATCTCGGCCACCTCCCGCTCGCTGATCTGCTCAAAGCCGGAGAGCGTGGGGCGCAGCACCCTGCGGGCACAGTGGGCGTGAGACAATGGGGGCACCAGGGGGCACGGGGGCGTGAGACAATGGGGGTCACCGGTGGGGGGGAGCGCACAGGAAGTGTGAGATGCCAGAGGGCACCGGGGGCATAAGACAATGGGGAATACTGGGGGGGAGGTAGAGGGGACATGAGATGCTGGGGGGGACTGAACAGAGTAAGAAAGGACCGGGGAGTATGGGGCGGGAGTAGGGAGAGGCAGAGCAGGGGAGACACGGGATGAGGAGTGGGGGGGACTAGTGAGGGTGAGACATGGAGGGACAGGCTGGGTGTTGGGGATTCTGGGAGACCCTACAATAACAAACCACCTGAGACCCTATAAAATGAACCCACCAAAAGACCCTACAATAACAAACACTGCATGCAGCCCTCCAAAGAGACCCTACAATATCACCCCACCTGAGGCCCTTCCGCCCGCAGCAACCACACTCGTCTCCCTAAGAAACCCCACAATAACAAACCAGCCCTACCTCTCCCGAGCATCCCCACAACAGCGGCCCACCTGAGAGACCCTACAATAAACAAGCCGCACCTCTCGTACATCCTGACGTCTCCCACCAGAGCCTGGCGCAGCAGGGGACCGTCCAGCTCTCGGGGCTCGTGGCCGGAGACGAGGAAGACGACAGGCAGGGGCTCCCCGAGGCCATGGGCCACCAGGGACTGGGTGCAGGCGGCCCGGAGGGCGTCGAGGGCCTGGGCCCGGTCGTAGCGCTCTCCCAGGAGCCGCCGGAGGGTGTGCAGGTCCAGGTCAGCCTTGGTGCGGGCGAAATGCACCGTCTTGCCGGCGCCGCGGGCCTCCTGGGCCAGGCGGGCATGGCTGGCACCGAATAGCCCGTCGGTGGCCAGGAGCACCACGTCCCCCTCGGCCAGCCAGCGCTCCGGCCCCTCGCCCTCTGTCAGGGGCAGCTCCCAGAGCAGCAGGTTGGGCCGGGCCGGGTCGGGGTACAGCACGGGCCCCCCGGAGCTCGCCGGGGCCCCCAGCGGGGCCGCGCGGGCGTCGTCCTCCGCCAGGCCCCGCGCGGCATTGAGCAGGGCCGACTTGCCGCAGCCCGGCACCCCCACGATCACCACCGAGACGTCGCCCCGGTCCGGGGAGCCCGGCGAGGTGTCCACCGGGGGCTGCGGGGGCATTTCGGGGTCTGGGGCTTCGTTCATCTGGGTGCTGCGGAGACAGAAAGAGAAGTGATTGTCGGGGGGGGCGTGGCTCCGGGGGTCTGCCTCCTGCCCCCACCCCCTCCTGCCCCTGCCCCACCCCGCCCTGATCCCAGCCCACCCCAATACCCCAGGCCCCTCCTGAACCAGAAGAGATGTGCACAGGGACAGATAAACCGAGGGGGGTACATTGGGGGTGCACGGGGACAGACAGACAGACGAGAGTGCAGGGGGATGGATAGGGGGTGCATGGACAGGGGGCGAAGGGGGACAGAGGGGGTGCATAGGGCGGATCGGGCGGTGCATGGGGTGACTAGAGGGGTGCAGGGGGATCAATCAGGGAGTGCATGGGGCAGACAGAGGGGGTGCAGGGGACAGATCGGGGGGTGCAGGGGAATGCATGGGGAGTGCAGGAAGCGGGGCGGGGGTGAAGAGG